TAGTTATTCATCTGCAACTATCAATTTCTGCAATGTGAATAGAAAAACGTAGTTTTGAATTTGTAACTCTCAGTTTCCTCTACGTGAATATGTTATCGATTTCTACCTGTCGTTCTTGGCTATGTGCATATACGGACATTGTTATCAATCTGTCCCTGTCATTATCTGCAGTGCGAATGTTTAAGTGCATTTATAAACGTTTTCCAGTCAGTTTCTGTGTTGTGAATATGGAAATATAATTATTAATTTCTCCTTGTCAGATTCTGCTCTGTGAATATGAGTGCGTAGTTATTCCATGTTTATGCCATGTGAGGCTTGGGAGTGTTACTGTGAGTCTCTTCCGATCAGTTTCTGCTTTGTAAATATGAGTATAGTAATATCGTCAAAGAGTCATGCAGCTGGGAAACAGACCTTTGGTCCAACAGTCCATGCTGACCACAGGTACCAATTTCAATTTTTCTTTTCAGCATCCGCCTGTTGTACGACAGAGAGTTTTCTAATGTGCTGCCAATCTGAATTAAAGATGGGTATTGGTCTAAGTCACACTGTCCTTTTCTAAATGTCTGCTTGTGTTTCTAGTTCTGCATGTACGGTCTGATACCCTTTATGAGGTGGGATTAATGTGTTATAAATTAGTTTTTCTTACATTAAGAAAGTGTGGACATGCTTCTGCCATAGTTAGTCTCTCACCGAGATTGTAAGTGCGGTTATAGTTAGTTTTCATCAGCATCGGGCTGACAGTCAGCATAGGATCTATTCAGTCTCTGGTATTGTGTGTCAATGTGTTCCTCATGCTTTGTGATCATATTTCACATGAGTACATGAATGTCATGTTATGCTGAACATGTTACTTGTAGGAATTGCTGACATTCTTTTGTTGTTTAAATATCTGCTGCTCAACATGAATGAGATTTTACCCAATGCCATATGAATCAGATCCTATAAATGAAATGAGATAATTCAATACCTTTTCCAGTCTCTGACACTGTAGATGCAGTTTGCTTAACGTCCACAATATTAAGTCTCTATATGATTTATGATTACAAGTTTGATCAGGATTGGTCAGTTTCATCGGAATGTGTATTTCAAATTTATTCCTTCTGTAACAAGATCATTATATGAGCATTTCTTCAAACTATTTCCAATAATCTCTGGTTATCTGTTTGTATCTGTATCTGTTTGCGACGCTATTTGATTTCTTTTTTGGTCCATTAAACAACAACATCTTTATTCAGTACTTTTGTATGAGATGTGTGCTGCTTTTTAATTTGTACCTCTTTGGAAGCAAATTAAATTGCAATGTTTGTTTCATCTTAAACTTGGCCTAAATGTATTTCCTTCAGTTTCTACAAAGGAAATTGATACATTAGTTACGTGTCCAAACCTAAGACACCGTGAGATATTTGGAGGCATATTTAATCTGGATTTCAATTTATTTCTTAGGCTGTTCAGTAGAATTCATCGTTGATCATGCAATAGCTTCAGTATTTTCTAATGTAGTGAACAAGACTAATTTACTTTATGCCGAGATGATACCTCATACTTAATCCTAAAGGAAAGCACTCACAATATGAGATTGAAGTACTTCACTCTCACCCAGGCCTGTTAACGCTTAATGAAAGGCTAGCTCTCCCAACTGTGTGATCTTTAAGAGTAATGACATTTTTTTTTGTTTTTGCCTGGGTATCTACTAACCTGGCAGCATCTCTGTGCTTTGTAAGATATTCTGTACCCACTGTGTATTGGCACAATCTCATTGCACTATTTGTTGTATCAGAAAATCAGTTTCCTTCAAGTCCTTAATTGCATGAATAAGGAGAATAACTGGTGCAGCCTATTTGGTCTTCTTTGTGAATGCACAATTAGTTTTGTTTCTTCCATTCACTTGTACAATTTATGCATTTGGGAAGTACTTCTCTACCCGTCGATATGTGCTGTTCAATGGAATTGCACATTTCAGTCTATTGTCCTTAAAATTTAGCTCATATGTGACAGGCTGTTAACAGAGAACAGCCAGATTATTTTGTGAAGAACTTGGAAACTAAAATTTAACACTGAGGACTAGGGCTGCTCTCTGTTGTGTAAATGCCCAGATTTTATATAGAAAGATGTTTTTGAAAAGAGCCGCTGTTATGAAACATGACAAATACATTTAATTGATCCTATTTCCATCTTCCTGCATTGCATTACTGAGCAGTTTAAATATTTCTTGTGAAGTGGAGAGCCAGTTACCACAATGGGAGAGGAGAGAGTTTTCGGTTCATCTCTCCTGTCGCAAATGGGAAAGAGCCTATGTTCTTCAGTTGTTTGTGCCTACAGCATTTATGAGCAAGTGAAAATGCAAGTCATTGCAACAGAAAGGAGTCTGTGCTTTTCTTCAGAGTTGACGAGGGAAAAGCAATGGACCTTTGTAACTGATACATTGCAGAGTCGAACCAGCAGTGGTGATATCAAAAGATGATATCACAGGATGATATTAGCATCGTTCAACATTGCATAGCGACATAAGTTTTGGAATACTGCTCAAGTAAAGATGTTAATTTAATATGTTATTACCAAAGGGAAAGTGAAATGAACAAATCAACTACATTGCAGTTGACTGACCACAATGTTGCTTGTGCAGGAAAGAAAATTGGCTTATTTACTTAAATTTGTTTCATGGCGCGGACATTACCCTGCTCTGTGTTGAAATTTTGTTTTCTGTCATGCAGTGGACAAAACTGGAATAGTCAAACTAAATTTACTGAAGAATAAATACTGTTGAACTCTCCTTGCAAAATATAAATGAGAATGGTTATATTATTGTATTTGCTTGTTTGAAAAAATGGCATGTAGTTTTCTTGTGTTTTATGTAATAACTCATATGGAGTGTCAAGAGAAACACAAGGCTATTTGAACAAAATTTAAGCTAATTTGAAAACAAAAGGTCCATGATTATGAAGTCCTCTTGCTGAGGATAGAATAAAAAAAATCTATTCCTGCTAAGTGAAAAAATTGAGAACTATCTGGTGATAAAGGTGGGGATGGTAGTTCCTCTTGCACCATGATACATTTATGGAAATTGAATGCTGACTGAATGAGTGTAGAATTGTTGGCTGGTTATTTCTTAACAGTGCAGACTTGATGAGAGAAAGGACTGTTTGCTGTGCTGCAGGCGATGAATGTATGTGTGTGAGTGATAATCATTGTTCTGTACTTGTCAGTAGCTGTCATGTGAAGATGTGAGTGTAATCATCAATCTGTCCCTCTCAGTTTCTGCTGTGTAATATGAGTCTAGTTATCAATCTATACCCATCAATTCCTCTTTCGTGAATGCGGAAGTGTGTTACAAAGAACAAAGAAAATTACAGCACAGGAACAGGCCCTTCGGCTCTCCAAGCCTGCGCCGATCCAGATCCTCTATCTCAACCTGTTGCCTATTTTCCAAGGATCTGTATCCCTCTGCTCCCTGCCCATTCAAGTACCTGTCGAGACACATCTTAAATGATGCTATCATGCCTGCCTCTACCACTTCCGCTGGCAACACATTCCAGGCACCCACAACCCTCTGCGTAAAGAACTTTCCACACATATCTCCCTTAAACTTTTCCCCTCTCACCTTGAAATTGTGACCCCTAGTAATTGAGTCCCCCACTCTGGGAAAAAGCTTCTTGCTATCCACCCTGTCGACACCTCTCATGATTTTGTAGGCCTCAATCAGGTCTCCCCTCAACCTCTGTCTTTCTGATGTAAATAATCTTAATCTACTCAACCTCTCTTCATAGCTAGCGCCCTCCATACCAGGCAACATCCTGGTGAACCTCCTCTGTACCCTCTCCAAAGCATCCACATCCTTTTGGTAATGTGGTGACCAGAACTGTACGCAATATTCCAAATGTGTTCGAACCAAAGTCCTATGCAAATGGTACAAATATGGTATCTGTCAAATTCTTCTGTGAATATAAATGTAGCTATCAATCTATATATGTTTATGCTTTCTTTTCCTGTCATGTCTGCATGTAATTGTCTTTCTGTCCCTGTCATTTTCTGATGTGTGAATATAGTTATCAATATGTGCCTGTCAGTTTCTTCTCCATGGCTGTGCGAGTGTATTTACCCATTTATCCCAGTCAGATCCTGCCCTGCAAATCTGAGAGATGAGTTATTAAACTAAACCTGTCACTATCTGGTTTGTGAATGTGTGAATGCATTTATTATTCTCTCCCTGTCAAGTTTCTAGGGTACAGTTCAAGTTTTATTCTGGCTTGGTCAGTCTCTGGTCTGAATGCGTTTAGAGTTTAATGTTCATATGTCGATGCAAGCTCACTGTATGAGACATTCTTAATTGTATAGTCAACAATCTAGGTTATCTGCTTGAACGTAGGTCATTTTCTGTATCGTTTCAGGTCAATATTTGATTTCTTCTGGTCCATTTAATAGCAAAGTTTATATTCAGTGGAAGTGTATCAGATGGGTTCCGCTATTCAGTTTGTTGTTTTGTGCAAACAAATTCAATGGCAATATCAGTTTCAATCTGAAACTTGTCCTGATATGCAATTTCTCCAGTTTGTACAAAAGGAAATGATACTTTAATTACCTCTCTAAGTCTAAGAGATGGTGAGACATAGAGGTGCAATTAATCTCTTGTTCGATATACTTCTTGGACTACTTCATGGGAATTCAGTGTGTCACAAAATTTGTCCAGTTTTTTCCAATGTAGCGAACGAGTGATTTTCACATTGTGAACACGGGAGTGCATGTACACATGGGAATTGAAGTATTTAGCTCACATTCTGTTCTGTTTGTCTCTTATCATGAAAGGCTAGCTCTCTGACCTGAAATCCGTGAGTGGAAATCATTTTCAATGTTACATGCTCTGAGGCTTGCAATATATATCATCTTTATGGCTGTTAGATGGTGTAACACATGTGATGGGATAGTGTATATATTTACAACTCATTGGAAATCACTCAGTGGAGTGTGTGCGCGTCGGAAAGTGTGTGCGTGCACTCTGTTAGCATTCTGTGTCAGGCTTTGGCACAGGATGTGCATTTGGAAGGCACGTTATTTAATTGTTCTGTCTATGCCTGGGACATCTATTTGTCAAAAGATTAATACTGTTCTGCTCGGTTACTGATAATGTGAATGCTTTCTTACATATCTGTGCTCATTATCTACTACACGTATGGTTGGTGTAACTATGTAACAGCATGAACTATTTCTTCACCTTGACAGTAACTTTAAAAACATGCTTACTAAATGTAGATTTACTGCAGTTCTTTTGTGTCTATTTCAGATGAAACTTCAGTCTATTCATTTCCAAAAATGTTGTAAGTGTCAAGAGGCTACAAATGGTGAAATTTTTTGAAACAGGGGAGGTGTGTATTGAGAAAACAGACAAAAAAAACTATTTGTATTTTGTTGGTTGTGTTTGACAGTTGGCTTGAATGCATATCACTGGAAATTGAGTTCAATGTGTCTCTGACTCAATCTGCTCTGTGCCTGTGGAAAGGGTGTTCTCGGCTCGGACAGTGCTAACATACCTGCTGTTTGTTAGGAGCAGCTGGTCACCCTTGGCTTTGTACTGAGCAAATATTACATTGTCTTGTTCCTGCAAGAAGACAGAAGAGTTAACTCCTGTAAATCAACATCAGCCAAGTTTGACAATGTCAAACAGATTAATGTAATATTCAGTTAATAATTATTTGGATGTTTCTTTTCTTTAACTTCTTCTGATGAAGAGCAGAGCTCGAAAAGCCTGTCATCTTAAATTAACCTGTTGGATGATGACAGTGTCATGAGACTTCTGTCTTTTCTTTAAAGTCATCAATTCAAACACAGGTCTGATTCCATTTTAACCTTGAGCTGTTCCTTGTCTAAGGATCATTCTTTTTTAAATATATATACTTCGATACCAATTGAGTGAGATCCAGAAATGGAATGACAATTGCACAGCTCCAGGTAAGGTGCTACCGAAGCTACTGCAATGTCTGCGCAGTTCATGTTACCAAATCCCAATGCACTAACTGTTGAATATGTTGACTTCAATCCATATCCTTTACAGGGTTCTTATATTTCCACAGTCTTGTCTGTGTTCCGACTTTGACTGCACAATGTCAACAAAACAGTGTGAAACAGAAGCCAAACAATGAATTTCCATCAGTGTCTGGAGATTTGAAAACTACAAGAATGGCCCCCAGGAGCTTCTTGCCGCTGTGTCTCCCTCAACAGGCCCACACACAGCCCGAGTGTGTTTGTGGAGCTGCAGTGGGGTAAGCCATCACATTCCTGAATTGATCACATTATGCGTTGGACAGGAATTGGGGAATCAGGATGCCAGTTACTCACAGTAGGATTCCCAGCCTCTGACCTGTCCTTGCAGCATCTGTATTTTTGTGCAAGTTCACTTCCAGAGTCATAGCTTGTTAAAGTGAAACAGCATGGAAATAGACACTTTGATCCAACTTGTCTGTGCTAGATTGGCATGCCAATCTGACCTTGTCCCATTTGCCAGCCTTTGGCACAGATCCCTCTAAAGCCTTCCTGTTCATGTACCCATCCAGATGGCGTTTAAATGTTATAATTGTACCCGACACCAGGAGTTCCTTTGGCAGCTGGTTCCATACATGCACCACATCCTGCACGAAAGAAATGTCCCTCAGGTCCTTTTTAATGCTACTTTCCCAGTTCTGAACAAAGGTCACCGGATCTGAAACGTTAACTCTGATTTCTCTTCACTGCCAGACTTGCTGAGCTTTTCCAGAAACTTCTGCTCTTGTTTGTTATTTTTGTCCTCCTCAGTCACTGATAACATCAAAAGTTTCCATCTATGTCTGAACTCAATATCTACTCCATATATGGTTATTGTAATGATGTAAAATGTTGATCTATTTGTATACCTTGATTGTAACTTTGAAAATGCCCTTACTTAATGTGAATTCATACAGTTATTGAATTGTGAAGAAGATTCAATCTATCCCTCTTCAAATGTTGTGAATGACAATGGGCTTTCAAAGATGAACTTTACTGGAACCAGGCTGGTTTATCTCGAGAATAGAGAAAAGAAAGATATATTTGTATTTTGTTGGTGGTATTTGACCCTTGGATTGATTGTATATCCCTGGACATTGAATCAGACTCGCATTGAGCTCAATCAGCTGTGACTGTGGAAAACATGTTCTCCGCTCTGACATTGGTAACATACCTGCTGTTTGGTCAGAGCAGCTGGTCACACTTGGTGTTGTACCGAGGAAATATTACATTGTCTTGGCCCATCAAATACATGCCCGGAAATAGAAGAGATATCTGCTGTAAATCAGCATCAACCGAGATTGAAAATATCAAACTGATCGATGTAATATTTAGTTAATGTGAATGATGATTCCTTGTTTTAAAGCCAGCAATTTGAACAGAGTAGGACCTGGTTACATAATTACTCTGAACTCCTCCTCGTCCCGTTCTTTTTGCGAAATTCAAAAAATAACAAACAATCACAAAAGATTAAAAAAAAACAAACCAACACCTGTACAGCTTCATGAATGGAACGCTTACACAGTTCAATATCCAGCTCCCAATTCACTAACTGTTGAATGGAAGGACAACGATCACGTTTTCGAATATTTTACTTGAGACTATTAACCCGGTTACTGCTATATTTATCACTTACATAACTATCACATTTGCATATAATGACTTTTCTTTCCCACGATTCAATGCCAATTCGCGTGAAACAGAAGCTAAACAATGATTTTCCATCAGTGTTTAGTGGATGAAAAACCACAAGAATGACCCCCCCCCCCCAGGCAGCTTCTTTCCGCTGTGTCTCCCTCAGCAGGCCCACACACAGCCCGAGAAAGGCCTCTCACTTCCCCACCACAGGCCGCTCACTCCAAGTTCCGGGACCAGTTCCTGCTCCGCTCGGCCTCTTACAAACAGCCTCCGGTTCTCCCTGAACTGAGCCCGAATCAATGCCGCTGTCGGAACCCCCCTCTGTGTCCCAGACTCACATCTCCATGTGCTGCTGGAAGGAGCCTGCTGTTCCCTCGCTTCCCCGGGCGCTGGTCTCTCCATTGCGGTCTGTTTCAAACAAACCTCTTCCACTCACTGAGTAAATGCTCGTCAATGGCAGCGCTGGGGCAGGGCTTCACGCATGCGCTTCTCCAGAGAGCCTGCAGCAGCATAGGGGGCGGGGCCAGCCTCGCGCATGCGCTACTTTTCCAAATAATTCCCAAAACAAACATCAATTGACCATTTCCCCAACTCACTTTTCTCCCAGTTTGAGCAAAGCAACTGGGGGCTGTGGGGGAAAGGACAGAGAACGTTTGCATATAATGACTTTTCATTCCCACGATTCAATGCCAATTCGCAAAAAACAGCGTGAAACAGAAGCTGAACGATGAATTTCGATCGTTTCCCGGATCATGTTAATAACTGCCTCCTTCCGGCTCTTTCACAATCTGATGGGGAAGTGGAGAAGCTGACGGCCATTCAGCCCGTTAGATGTTCTCCACAATTCAAAACATCACGTCTGATCTTATGTTAACTGTAGTATTCCATTGTGCTGACCCTCGTCCCCATATAGTAACACTGTCAAAGTAACATACAGAGCGATGAATATAACTGTTGGAGGGAGTCTTGCGGCGCAGTGGTAGTGTCCCTATTTCTGGGTCAGGAGGACCGTGCTGAAGTCACACCCGGAACTGAGGTGTGTGATAACATCTCTGGACTCGGTGCAAATAACAGTTTGGAGTAGATGACTGATTTTATTCTCGCATCTGCTGCAGACAGAAACCTTGTGATGAACAGGGTACCGCAAAGAAAGACTCCAGATGTTTTTGTTACTTACTCCTGGGAGATGGATATCGCTGGCTGGGCCCAGCAGTTATTGCCCGTCCCTAATTGCTCCTTTGAGAAGGTGGTGCCGAGCCGTCTTCAAGAACAGTTGTAGTCCATCTGCTGCCCACAATGCCATTAGCAGGCAATTCCAGTGTCTTGATCCAAGGATAATGAAGGAAAGGGGATATATTTCCAAGTTCGGATGGTGGGTGGCTTGGAGGGGAACTTGCCCTGTATCGAAATTGCGTTCCTTCACATCTGCTGCCCAAATCCTTTTAAGTGGATGTATTCGTGAGTATGGGAGGTGCTCGTTTTACAGTTCACAAATTTGTAGTTTAAGAGGGCTATTCAACTTAGTTTTTGATCCACAGAAGAGGCATACAAATTGAGAAGAAAAAGATATTGAAAGAGAAAAAAGAAGTCCCTGAAGCTGGGGAACATTTCAAAATCAGGAAAGAAGAAAAAAAAAGTATTGATGATGAAAGAGCAAATGAAGAAAAGGTTATGCTTGCAGAAGCCATTAAAAAAAAAGACTAACCGTTAATGTATTGATAAATATGTAAAATGAGAATGGAAATAAAACTACTTTGGTAAACACGTCACTTACAATCAAAAAGAGGGGAGTTCATTACAGGGAATAAAAAATGTCTATCCAACTGAATACTTACTTTTGTTCTATGTTCACAAAGGAGGACACATATAACACACCAGGAATGCTGGGGAAACAGAGTTCAGTGCGAGGGAGAAACTGAATCAAATCAGTATTAGTCAGTAAATTGTGTTGAAAAATTTGATAGGATTGATGGCTGGGAAACACCAGGGACAGATAATTTAAGTTCCAGAGCACTTAACCCAGTAGCCTTTGAAATAGTGGATGTATTGCTGGTCATGTTGCAAACCTCTATAGGCTCTATAATAATTTCCAAAGATTGGAGGGTAGCCAATGTCAGCAATCTATTTGAAAAGGGAAGTAGAGATAAAACTTGGAATTTTACACCAGTCAACCTGCAGGAAAAGAATATTTTATTGCAGATAATTTGGGATAAAATGTCAGGATCAGACAGAGTCAGCATGGATTTGAAAGGCCTGTTCCTCTGCTGTATTGTTCGATGCTCCCAGCCTGACAACTCTACTCAAGTAAAGATGATAAAGCAGAGGTGTTAATTCTAATTTACAAAAGCTTTTTATCCAAAATCCCACATAAGATATTAGCACGTTAAAATCAAGGAAATAGGATTGGTGCAGAGCATTGAGGATGACTTTCTAAAAAAAAACTAGTTGGATAAGAGGAAACACAAAAGAAATGAATGGATCTTTTTCTCAATGGCAAGCAATGACGAGGGGTCATGGTAAGAATCAGTTTTAGGATCAAAGCTCTTCACAATATATTCACAATGGTTTAGATGAGGGAACTAAATGTAGTATCTCCAGATTTATTGATGAGACAAAATTGGATTGGATGGTCAGCTCTGAAAGAGGATGCATTGTTTGTGAAGAAGTCGAGTCAGTGGGCAAATGCATCTGAGGCACTGTATAAATTGGATAAATGTAAGGTTATACACTTCGGTAGCAAAATAAAAGGAAGGCACGTCATTTTCTGGAAGTCCATAATTGGACCCAGTGGAATTTGCAACGAGACCTGGGTGCCCTCACAAACCAATCACTGAAAGTAAGCATGTAGGTGCAGCAGGCAGTAAGGAAGGCAACTGGTATGTTGGCCTTCATGGAGAGTGAATTTGAGTACAGGAGAAAGGATAAATTGCGACAATTTAACAGGGCATCTGTGAGACAACACCTAGAATACTGACAGCATGTGTGGTCTCCTTATCTGAGGAAGGATGGTGTTACTATAAAGGTAGTTTTAATGGGCAGATCACTGGGATGGAAGGAGAGGTTGAAGTGTTTGTGAATATATCGGCTTAAATTCAGAAGAATGAGGGATTCTCTTCGAAACCTGTAAGACCCTGGCAGACCTAAACAATGTACGTGCAGGAAGAATATTCCTGATGGTAGGAGTCATATGTTTCGGAGAAGGGATTGGCCATTTCGGGCTGAGAAAGTGAGAGTATTCTTCATTCAGAGAACGGTATGCCTGTGGAATTCTCTGCCACAGAAATCAGCTACATCCAACACACTGTGTGATTTCAAAATGGTATTGGGTGTAGCAATTGTGGCTAAAGGGAATCAAGGTATAGTTGGCTTAACGGCAAGAGACAGAGAGTGAAGATGGACGGCTGTTTTTCAGACTGGACGCCTGTTACCAGTGGCTTCCACAGCGATTGGTACTGGCTCCGTTATTGTTTGTCTTATATAAAAATGATTTGAATGAGAATATAGAAGGCATGGTAGCACGTTTGTGAAT